CATGTATAACAATAGGTGAACTGAACAATTTAAAGTTAAATCCGAACTTCTAATATGAAATTTACAATTAAACAGGACGTTGGAGAGGTATTCCACGTCAGTTTTTTCTGGTAACGAAATTGGAGACTACTATCTTTACAAATATTTTTTAACGTACAAATAACACAATTTAAAAACAGATTAATTGCAAATACAAATACTAAAGTTACAACGAAATGAAGGGAATAATTTCTATTTTTGACAATCGTTTAATTGTAAACGTTTTGAAGTTTCTTGAAAAAAACTTTCATTCATGTCATATATTTGTGGAATTATCTTGTAACGAATACACATAAGATACAATTATAGAGTATACATGGTCAATGTCAATGTTTACATGTTTGTTTTATTCGTTGGAACTATTGATGACATTAAGAATATCATTTCCATGTTTATGTAAAAGTTACAGCGACCAATCTGGCTGCACATGACTGATCACAGCGACCCATCTACCTGCCCATGGCTGATCAAAGCAACCCATCTACCTGCCAATGGCAGATCACAGCGACCCATCTACCTGCCCATGACTGATCACAGCGACCCATCTACCTGCCCATGACTGACCACAGCGACCCATCTACCTGCCCATGACTGACCACAGCGACCCATCTGTCTGCCCATGGCTGATCACAGCGACCCATCTGTCTGCCCATGGCTGATCACAGCGACACATATGCCTGCCCATGGCTGATCACATATGTATTTTTTTATTTGCAGGGTTCTTATAATTCCACAAACGATATTATATACTGCGTTCGATATCAAATTACTATCATTCTTTACAGAGGCCGTGAGACAGACTGTATGTTTTATCTAGATCGTATTGATTCTTAAGGTATCTATACCATACCTTATTTTAGACCATTCTCAATAATAACGAAGAAAGTTTCGTTCGAAAATTACGTTTTTCAGTACAAATCATTCATTAAAACTCTTGTCAGCTCTCAGATCCAATACATGATAGTTTTTCAAGATACGTGAAATCAACGTTGTTCCTTTATAGAAATTGGGAGAAAACTGGTTTTAGATAAAAATGTATGAACTTGTCTAACTTCCCATGTACATGTGAGTAGCAACTTTTCATCCAAAATTAAGAATTAGATACAAACCCCCTAATGGACCAAACTGCAACATACAACTGCTAGAATTCATTCTTAATGTAAATTTTCAAAACCAAGGAGGCGACTGATGTTCACGGCGTGTCTCGCTAAACGGGTTTACCATGGTTTATGCTGGTCTGTCTGATCTATAGATTTCCGAGGGTCAATACTCACACACAAATGCTTCTAGAGACCGAAAGATATGTCAATAGAAAAAAAAAAGATTAAGAACACCATGTATCTAATAGTGGAAGATGTGCTAGCATTTTTTAATACATATATTTATATTTGCATGTATACACCACAATGTTCATTTATTTTTTAAGATATGTTACCAATGCTTGATTATTACAGGGTCATAATTGTGAGTTCAAAACAGAGACGACTAGCTGTCAAAGCGTTGATTTATCTTGGCTTAATTCAGGATATTATGGGAATAAGACTGTAACGTGCAGGAAATATAAGCACTGAACTGACATTTGTAGTTGCTGTAAATAACACAGCTTTGGAAAAAACAAACAAAAGAAATATTGAGTTTACATTCCCGACTGCAAATAACTGCAAAGGGTGTGAACTTCTTCTGGCATAACTTCATGGAAATTATTTCCGCTGTGTTCCTAGGCCAATGGAGTATCCTCAAAACAGAAAGATATCGGGTGAGAACAAAGAATATCTTCCTTTGTTTTTTGTGGTTACTCAACGGATGACTGTTGTATACACCATATAGTATATATAGATTATTACATGGCCTTTTTCATTTCACAACCCTGTAGTAAACATTTGATACTATACCATACATAACCACCTGACAGAGAGAAATATTTATTACTAACAACGTGACTCCTTTGATATAAAGTCCGTCCGTCACCCATTCATCTGAACAGTCCAGTTGTGTCCGTACATCGCGACCATGGGCCTTTTGTTTGTCATTTGACCGCCAAGACTTTAAGACACCATCACATTCCTGCATACAACTGGCCCAATACCATGGTCTGGTGGCTTGGGGATATCATAGCATTCAGCCCCTGTAAGTAATGCAATATCGTCCAACGGAACACATACGAAAACCTTTCTATTTATAGTTTTTTAACCATCATGATATTGGTTATTAATTTATATCCTGGCCCCTGACATCTTTGTTATTCAAAAGATATTTGATATAATCTAATATTTGATCAAGTGGCTGTGAGTAAGATCAAAGTTCTCCCTTCTTAACACATTATTTTAGATCCATTGGGTTTGCTGTACCCTGCGTGATCCATTTGAATTCGTACACACGCAATTGACTTTCTTCTGAATTTATCAACAATTATGAAATTTATTAACTTATAGGACTAGTGCACATCCTATTCAGGGTTTTGCCATTTCGATCATATTGTACTTTCCTCCTCGGTTTCAAAATTTAGGCATTTAGTATCACTGGAAGGACGATAGTGCTGTTTGATGCCATTTTCTCCTATTCTATAATATTAAATGGTACTGTTCATTTGTGTGTTTTTTCGTACAAACTTCTAGTCCAATATCACGACGATAAGACTCCTGAGTACTCAGGAGATTAAATCAAAGGAAAAGGTTGAACTGAATGAAAGACGCAATACCAAAGCCAAAGCTTAGTTGACTTTCACTTCAAGCAGGCAAATTAAAAATCAACTTAATATTCAAACACTTTTTATAAGTAAACGGCAATAAATCACCGTGCATGCAAAGCTGTCCTTAAATCAATAATATTCCCGTCACTCAGACAGTAGACTTTATCTTGATGGTGACGTCTATTGTGTAATGGAGATGATCACAGCGTTAGGGTATTTCTCAATTCTTGACTGTCTGTCTCTGACAAGAAGTGATCCCTCCAAAGTTTTTGTTTGTTTGGCATTTGCAGAATGTTCAAGACCATTAAACTGAAGATCGGGATAAAACTGTTGAACATCACTCAAAGGATCAACAGGTCAACTGACTATCATACACTAGTTTTTCAGATTATAAAAAGTTGCCAAACATATGTCCACCCCATTCAAAGCAGCACGTTTTCAGTTATGAGAGTCTTGTTGAGATATGATAGAACTGGACGTGTGGTGGTAACTCTTAACCACTCAAGTGTAGGTCTACATTAAGTTAGATCAAACTGACTGGTCTGTGCCGTCGTGATTGTGATCTTGGACAAGCCTTTGTATCCCAATTGCTCTGGATGGCATGGGAAGGGCCTCATGCATGTTGTTCAGTGAGGAAGCCACTAGCAACTAAAAGGAAACCCTGCCTCAACATGACCCTGATTGTTCAGGTGTGGATAAACCCATCAAACATAACCTTTGAAAAGGTATGAAAGTTTCAGCATGAGGTATATTATAGATATCATCTTGGGTTAAATATTTCATCCAATGTACAATGTTCTAAGCAACCTATTTGATAACTTTTCATGGAAGAGCTATCAGGTATGAATGACAAGGGAATGATAAAGGGGAAATAACTGTTCTATTTGTCATACATACTTGGTGTGATACTAAGTGCTGGTAATATTAGGTACTTGTTGACAGATCATCGATGAATTATTTATGATCAACTTAAGATGAAAAGCATAGAGAAATGGGCTTCCATTATGCTAGCCACTGATGAAATTGACATCTAAGAAAATACCAGGAGTGCAGACAAAATCAACACTCTGTACTTTACCATATATTTTCCATCCAGGCATTCAATATTTCTGATTATCAGCCCAAGTGTTTCCTTGGAATGTATTAGACTATGTTTGTTCATGTATATAGTGGACTCTTTTTAAACAGGTCATTGCCACAACGATATGATCTGGAGATTCTAGATTGATGAAACTTATATTAACTTGTTTAAAAATACACAAATAAAATATTTATTGTCCATTTGTACTCATCTATGTTCCTTTTCATAAATTATTTGAAACATCATTAGAAAACATGCTTTCACTTAACGTGTGAAATACTTCATAAGTTAAACTGACCTGAAAACTATGTTATATTCAAGATGGTGAAAACACTTGTACAAGACCAATCAGCATCTAGAGCTGGATACAGATTATTGAAGCAAAAGGACTTGAAATGTATCAAGGTGGGATTACACAACATATAGATTACCTATGCATGTCATTGTGCAACTACACATAAAACCCAATACGCATCAGGCTTACTAACAAACCTGTAAATTTATGGGAACAAACCAATGTAACATTTTGGGCAAAAATCGGGATAAGTCTGCCAATATTAATACAGGCATCAAAAGGCTTAGCCAAAGCTAGCAAGAAAGCAGAGCAAGATCAGAAGTTCAAGCCTTACTTCATAAATAAACAATCCTAGTTCAACAGGTCCGACCAACAACTGAAATGCGCCCATTGCACCCTGATATAGTTTTTTTTACTAAAATAAAGGTAAATTTTACTGTATTAATAAATGAACAAATATACAAAAGTAAGCTTTACTCCATACAATTCATATATTTACACTTTCAAAGAAGAAAAATCTCCTAAATATTGAGATAATTTGTTTGTAATAACTGACCATTTCAAAAATATTTAAAACATATTGACAGAAAGTGAATCTAATACAAGTAAACTATATATATAATATCTTTATTTGAAATTAAAACCAATGTAAAACTTTGTCATATGGACCAAGTGTTATAGGAACCAGGTGATTTTTAGGCCCGTCACAATTTCAAAAATATCAAGGTCTCAAATTTTTCATCATAATGCAAGAAAACTTTACAATAACCTGTTCTTTATAGTGCTCAAAAGTTGTGTCTGGGATTTATCATTCAAAATATGACAGTCTGTAACTTGACAATACATACTGAAGTTTTCTCATCAAAGATCCAACTCTAGGGTGCATACCAACAATATTTATATTAAGACAAAAACTTTATTCACTTGTCTTTGTGAATTTACAGTTAATCAAATATCGATTTCTATGGTACAAGAAACTGAAATACCGGGGAAATGATACCAAATGATAATTTGGTGTAACCTTGTATCCCAAGTATTTAAAGAATTGTGCTATTCACATGGTCATACATAAAACAAACTGGTTGATTTTAGTTATCTTAAAGTACCAGAAAACTAGTTGTAAAACACCCAACTACAGAACAAGTGTTCAAATCATTTAATCACATTTATAAATATGCGCCAATGAGAATGATAAAAATATCAATTTTACAGTGATAAATGATATTCTGAGATACTTTGAAACTGTTGCAATGAAACAAACACTACATAAAATAATATAGAGTACACACACCACTTACACACACCTTCATAATGCACCTTTACAATGATACACTCACCAATCAACCATCTAAAATTTCTTAAAAATACAAGTGTGAAGCTGGAACATTCAATTCATTCTGTCCTTTAGATTCAGACTTAATAGAAAAATACTATGTATGGGGCCTATACATTGGTGATCCTCAGGACAAGATGATACACAGGAAGTCTTTTGATCTGTAACTGTATGAATGATAATGGCTAGTCCAAAATTCAGGAAGCAGCCGTGTCCTTTACTTCAAACAGTTGCATCTTTATTTTCCTCTTGTTCCATTTTGAATGCTGTACACTTTTCTCGCCTATGTCTAAGAACTTGCTTAAGGTTCAGTACCCTAAATCACTGAGTGTATTCAGTCTGTTTCCATCTAAAATGAGAAACAAATACATGTATCAATAAATGAAAGACATATAAGTGTTAAATACACAATAAAAGTTGAATTCAAAGGTTTAAATGAAATGTTTAGTGTAGAACACAACACCAACAACCAGGTTTTCATACTATGTGGTCATTCTGCCTGTTCAAATGTATTAGTTTTCCTATGCATCAACCTCAATCAAGCTGTCTAACAGTCATCAGAATGTACTCAATAACTAAGAGCATGTATGCAAGACTCAAGCCACTCTAAATTCTAGATATTAAATGGCCAATAGCAACCTACTTTTGAAATGTATTAAGGGGTCTTACAATAACATGGGTTAAACTTCTGTAATGAAAAAATATTATACTTAGAATTGGGTTTGTTTGGTGTCTTAATTATCATTTATTTGCAGTTTATTTTTTAACAAAACTTGTAAGTAATCAGAGGAAAGTAATCCACTATGTACATCAATTAACAACTTGTCTTAAATTCCCTCCAAAACTATGGGTACATATTTAGGCCTACTATTTATCGATAATGCAGATGCTCGGATGTGAACATTATATATAATTGAGGTATATAATCATTTTCATAAATAAGCTGTTGGTTGACATGAATTAGAGCTACCAGGTATGTTTAGGTGTGTACATGGTTAATTTAAGATTATGCATCTTGTAATGAGTGACAAACCTTTGAGTTGTAAGCATCAAGCTCAGCATCCAGTTCTGCAGCTGTTGGTGTCTTCTTGTTCTCTCTACCACCTCCTCGTCCACCTCTGCCTCCCCGGTTACCTCCCCTTCCACGTCCACCACCAAAAGATCTGTAACAAACATTTTCTAGTTCATCGTCGGTCTAGTTTTTCTCATATAGATTAGTCAGATCTGATCTAATAACATTTTGCAAAATTATTTGAAAAAAAATTCTTAAATAATGCAGATATGTCTGTAATGGTAAATTAATTCTATCCGTCTTGTAATGTGAAGGGTAGATACATTAAAGTCAGACAAGACCTATTTAAGCAAAAAAAAGTGTGGAATATTCTCTAATCAGCTTCTACAAATAAAGTAAAGTGAGACATAGTGCCATAGATTTGCCCAACAATATTTGTAGCGTGGATATAATATGGGTCAAGCATTAGTTTCACAAACCAAATTCATGTCCACCTCTGTATCACTGAGCTTTTTAGTTGTAATTTACCTGCCACCTCTTCTATTGCTGTATCCACCACCTCTATAATTATAACTTATCTGTCATCTTCTCTTTTCCTCTGACCACCACCTTCCTAGTATAAATTTCCTGTCATCTCTGTTCTTCCTACCACCGCCTCCATAGTATAAATTACCTGTCATCTCCTTTATTCCTCTGACTGCCATCTTCAAAGTCCTTTTTACCTGCCACCTCCTCTACTCCTCTGACCACCACCTCCATAGTTTAACTTACCTGCCACTTCCTCTACTCCTCTGAGCACCACCTCCACCAGTTCTTTGGTTCATATTGATTCTGTTGCTCATGGGCACTGCTCCTGCTTCTGATGCTCCAATTAACTGGATACTCATCTGCCGACCTAACAATAAAGTGCTTATCTTTAGACTTTTCCTTCAGTATTACTACTGATAAAAATTTATACATTATGCCATAGTCATTTTGTTTATTTCATTGAAAAATCTTATTGAAATGCTACAAAAAATAACAAGGTGATCAAACAGACAGTGGTCCATATATTTTAAAAATAGCAAGTACAAGGAAAAAGACTTTACATAACATGAAGTATACCTAATAAATTGTAATGTAAGGAATTGTAAAGATTACTTCAAAGCCCTTTCAGATTGTAAAACTTCAACAAAATTGTGGGAAATGCAGATAACTCTGTTATGCTAGCTCCAAGGTACTTTAACAAATATGGGGTAACTTTCTTATATTTGTTTGAATTTTGTTCTCAAATCAGTAGGAATTTTTACCATCCAAAGGTACGTTGTTATATTGTTTCATGGCTTTGGCTGCATCAGCCCTTCTCTCAAATATGACCTCTGCTGTACCAAGGGACCTGCCCGATCTGTCATAGTGTACAGCTGCTTTCTTCAGATTACCAAATTCAGCAAATAATTCCTGTAATGATGTATGGATCAAGGTCAAGTAATTGGAGTAATGAAGACATGTAGTTTTATGTGAGTTAATATGGACTGTGATAAAAGGGGGGAAATTTAAAAATAAAAAAAAGGTCATTTCATTCCTTTGAAGAAAAAGTGCAGGATCACGTGAATCTATGTTAAAAACATTGATAAATGATTCAAAACTTCTGCTTAGGCAGGCAAATGAGTTTCTATTTGTGATATATGAAACCAAGTTGAAGATTTTTTCATGTAAGTGAGCATTAATGAATTTGTGACGAGTTGCATCAATCACAAATTAAACAGAACCAAATTGAAGATTTTTTATTCATTAATTATTTTGGCAAGTTTTCCATGTCACTCTATTTGTCCTCTCGGCTCTATGTTTATTGTCTCCATTGAAATGTTCTTTCCATATTTCAATAGCCGAGAGGATGCATTCAAAATAGATGTCCATTTCACCATTAACCGAAGAGTACATATTTTCACAAGTCAAACTAAGCAAGGTCCTTCACATCTTTACCTGTATATCAGAATCGTTTACTCCAAAATCAAGGTTAGATATGTGCAGTTTTCCTTGTGATCCTAAGGCACCGCCCCCTCCAAGTGTTCTTTTAAAAGTAGGTGCACCATCATACATGTCATGCTGCCATACGTCTGGAAGTTCTTTGGGCTGAAATAAATGGGAAAAAGAAATCTACATTTGTGAAATATCACCAAAACGTAGTGAAATACTTGAAAGGATGCTCATTAATAGTCCTAAAAAGTAAGTATTCAGAGTTTCAATTGATAAAAAAAGGTGACATTCATATAAAATTCATGATCTGTGTGTCCCATGTTTAATTTTTAAATTCTGTCAGAAATACCTCCTTTACATTAACTTAAATTAAGTTCAACCTGTAAAACAACTATTAGAAAATAATAAGTCCTCTTAAATGATACCAGCGTATCATTTAGTATATACTCATCTGACCAGTGGTCAAACACAACAAAATAGGTTTTTGCTGTTTTAATAGGAATAATTGTCAACAACTTCAACTATAGTACATGTGTAAACATAGTAGAGACATGTCATAAATATTTTCAGCTAAATGAGAATCGCATGCAGTAGTTGCTAAATTATTAATCATCGGCTTTCCAAAAAAAAACATGAAGAAAATACCAACATGACAACATAATCATAATCCAAACTCTAATTCCATAAAACTAGGACAGAATATAAACAAAACATTAACACAGAGACTCTCGAAAAAGTACAAGGAGAATAAGACCATGTGTTCCAGAAGAGTAAGTGTCTTTGGCATCATCGATGTAAACCCTGGTCAATTGAAGTAAGTAATATCAAGTTCTAAAATGAGGACAAGGTATACAACAAAAGAACCAACTGGCAAACTAACAAGTATTAAACACATCCAACTTTATATTACACAAAGAATACAATATTTTTCACTGAGATCACTAGGCAACAATAAACTTCCCAATAATTTTTAAACAACACTGGTTTAATGTTGGATATCAACGAAGTCATAATCTTAGTTTAAACACTGCATTGAAATATTAGCTTTTTACATTGTTGCTGTGGTGTTGCTCTATAAAATATTCAAACACTCCATGCACAAAAAGTACACAACTTTATACTCAACAAATAACGTTGCGAAAATACACAAGATGAAGGAAGTCATATTTTGCATTAATTGTTGCCCCAAATCACAGAGCAGCATGAATTTCTATGGGGATAATGTGGGGACCAATACTTTGTTAGTGCATGTTACAAGATAATAGTTTTAATTACTCTCGTTATGAAAGTACCCTGCTTACCATGTTACTGCAAAATTCAACTTGCGCATTTATGATCACATGCCTCATTTAAATCACTGGTGCCTGGGTTAACAGTATGTGTATCAAAAATTCTCGGACTGCAGCGTACAAATCAAAACAAAGCTGGTTCATACTTTGGTTCAAATGTAATTAAACATTTAAGAAAAAAAAAGTCCAGTAGTGTCATACAATTTCATAAATTAAAAAAAAAATATGAATTACTCTTGAATAATTGTTTCTGTTGCCTCCTGCACGACCTCTTCGTTGTACACCTCCTCTGAAGACACCTCCTCCACCGCCACCACGGCCACCAGTTTGGCGTCGTCCACCCCGGTTACCCCCGCGATTTGACGTTCGACCACCTCCTCTCCGCGCTCCTCGGCCTCCACCTCTTTTTGAACCCTTGTTAGACTTGATGATATCATCTAAGCTCATATCTATCTTGTCCCCCATCTTTGATGACTGTCAAAAATCGATCAAACAAGTGATTCTGTGCGTTCGCGTGTTCCCGGCTTGGTTTTGAGGAAATGGCGGCATGAGCGAAGCATGATGGGAAAACCTTAACTTAAAATATCAAGTGTTTTTGTTTTATTTTTTGTTGATGAAATGAAATTGCTTTAATAACTCTTCCAAGATAAATTTATTATGAAATAATGTTGATTTAATGTCATTCAATCAGGTAATTCATAATACCAGAGTAAATTTATTTTTTCCGTTCAAACTAATAATTGACTGCTAACGGACGAAAACTCCGTATGTTAATGTCAAAACACTGAAAGTGGATGAAAAAAATATATATATATAAAGAAAAAAAATCAAAACACCAAAACGATTTCTGTTACCAACTTTCTAAAACTTAAAATATTATTAAAAGTATTCAAACTGATCTTAATACGACTGAAACTATTAATCCATCGTTAATACCATTTTATCAAAATTGAGTTCAAACCGTGACTATTAAACAATTTACATCAAGGACACAGCATTTGTAATAATGTAACAAGCAGTGACAAGTCACCGATTTCCGATTTGTATTGATATGGTCAGAACTAAAAAACGTTGTATGAATACAAGACAGTAAAATATTATTAATTATTGTACCGAAAAGTTGTACAATATAATTTTTACGATATGACAAACTGGCCGCAGTAAAATAACGTTATAAAAGCCATTGGTAGTTTACCATAAAAAGTACATGTTCCGCGACCTGAATTTTAAAAAGACAGCATTAAGTAATATTTGGAGCGTTCAACAAAGTATCCAAAATTTTCACCCCTCCTGGTATGATTCTAAATACAAACTATAACTTTCAAGTAAATAACAATATCACGCCTCTCTTCTCTAATGATCTTCCTAAACAGCAAATTATTATCATTTGTAGATTACAAATTTATAAACCCCGACTCATTTAATTTGTTAAAAATGCATTTTCAAAATTCAAAAACATGGACTTCCCCCTCATCAGTAATCCAGACCAATAAAAACCGAAAAATAATTTTTGTCTTGACGCTACACAGCATATATATCCCTATTATTATCATTTAGTTATTTTCAGTCCTAAGAAATCTCAGCAATTTTGATTTAAACATTTATTTTACCTCCGGATGTAGCAAAGCATACCGTCCTGATTTATCCGTACCAAAAGAGCGAAAATATAGTCATTTTATTATACCTATTCACTGCAGAGGTATCAAGAAAACAAAGCCTGAATTATATACATTTTGTTTTCTTTTGTCATACTCAAAGATTTTTGTTTGTGTGTGATGTAGAGAAATGATATCGAGTTTACATTTTCTTTTTTTGTTTTCTTCGAGATCATTATTACTTTCCAAATCCACTACGCAGCCTTCTCAAATTTGAATCGCTACTTTTGCCATATTACCTGTTATATGTACATTATCCTACTAACAGCTGAGTCCTGCTGTATCGATACATATTTTACTTATTCATTATCGCCTCAGAACTTTTCAAATCAACACCCTCCACTCAACACCTCCTCCCCCCAAAATAATCTGTTTCTAGAAAAGTTACAATTTACTCTTTAAATAGCGTTTTCCAAATATTCTTTAATAATTGAAACACGTTTATTTTCAAATTAAATCCTTTAAAATTATATGGTATGACAATGTAACTGATAACAGTCTACCATGTTTGGAGTAAAAGGAATTCTACACGTTATTCTTTGTTGTTTAAATAAGTGCCAGTTAAACGACACCCATTCGATGCCTATGATAAATTCAATTACAGTGTAATGTTTGCTTTTTAAGGAAAAAATGTTTTCATACATTTTTAGTTTAAACAGCAAACTTTAAAATCAATGAACCGGAATCAAATGTGTCCGTCATTTACTTTATATTTAAAATGTACCTAATCTTTGATGTAAGCGGCCAGAAGCAGACAGCTGTACTTCCGCATCAGAAGATGAGATGCTCCGCTATCACAAAAGTCATGCAAGCGAATAACTGCGTACGTGTTTATTTAAAATAAACAAGAAACAGGAGCCATTTTGACCCCAAGAATGACCATTTGTCAAGAGACTATGGACTTAGATCACGATTCTAAACCGAGGCATGCTGTTTTCTCGAAGGTGAGTTGCCAGGCTGACAGATCGAACGAATGTCACGATATGTTCAAATGACATTGAGATTTGACACTTTGGTGTATAACTGTAAATGTCACGCTTCATTTTCATTTTACGTTCATATCGATATAATTGCTGCTCTATCCCCTCAATATATTCCAGATATATCTACTTTCGTTTACATACTATTACTATGGTATCTTTTTTCGATCTTGTAATTGTAACACTATGACAATATGGAGCTGTGTTAACTGTATTGTCAGTTTATCGGGAATTATTTTATTTTATCGAGGAGGCATATATGTCAATTCTCCCTGATTTTGGTTAAAGCTACTAGACTTAATATGGAAAATATTAATTTTAGTTTAAACAAAGAGCAGTTGAGAATTGCTTCAAGAAGCCCATTGAAAAATATTTAATTAGCACTCACGATCAGGGCACATATTTTGGTGTATGTAAATCCTGCCTTAGAAATGTTGCACCACCATTTCTAATGTCAGACACTGCTTTCTCTGCTATTTGATAAACATACACTACTTTTTTATTCGTATAACCATGAACACAACCACAATATATTTGATGCAGACAATCAATACTACACCTATTACTTAACAGTGTCTCCAGAATGATCAATTATGATTGAAAATGGACTGATAACACACAATCATAATTAATCCCTTTTCCATTATTGTGTATTTGATTAATCATATTTAGTTATTTTCTTTCAGTTTCTATCATCATCCACCAAATAATTTTATGTTACAGTGCACTTTAAAAACTAAATATGATTTGTTTGAAGTTAATGGATTTCTAGTAATTTATACCTAATGCGGAAATGGTGCACATGATATTTGAAATGCAATAATTACAATTGTGGTAAGCTTAACAACTGATTATAAATTAACAGTCACATATATAATTTAATCTAAGCTAGCTATTCAATACCAGTCATCACCATTTAAAATTATATCTGATTCCCAACTTTCTGTCTTCAATGGCTATTGGGTCACGAAGTTCTGAAATTGATAGCATTGCCAACACAATTGGTATTGCAGTCAAACCTGTCTCTAAAGACCCCTTGGGCCCGGATTTGAGCTGAAAAATGACATTTATATTGATAAGGTGTTCAGTTGCTATGAATTGGGTCCAGAAACTAATGATCTTTACAGATAGGTGTTGGTTTTTTTTTGTTTTGTTTTGGCAGATGGCCTTTAAAGGCATTTTAAACTGTGTTCAAAGACTTACAAAACTGCACCACCTACAAACAAGAAAAGTTCTAGTAATTCATGTACTTCAAAATTGTCAATATAGCATTACATTTCCTTTGATATGGACATTTAAGCAGCAGAAAGGCAATTTTTACTTCAATTTATTTTCCTTAAAACATTACTGATTTTGCATGCTGTACATTTTCAATTCAATGATAGAAGCATAAGTTTAGAGTAGAATTCAAAGTGGATAGGTGATTAAGTTTAACACAAAAGCCCTCTTCTTAATTTTTGCATACTCATCAATTTTAGAATATAAAGGCTAAAGTAGTTCATTAATAAGCCCTCCCCAAACTTAGGCTTATGTGAAGGGGGTGGGGTAGGGGCTTATATCATGGTAAATACAGTAATATTTAGTTAAGAACACAAATTAACTTTTTGAACTTGATACTGGCCTTTGTCCCTGAACACTGTTATCTTCTTTAGACATTTGATACAATTCTTTGTCTTGGACCTGAACCTAGTCTGCAACCATATTGAAGCTTAGATGCTTTCAAATTCTGATATCAGATAGGTGGTACTGAAAGTAAGTTCCATAAATGCCTTTCAATAATTATTTCAATACTCAAAGGTATTCATTACATTGGGAAATTAGATTTTCTATAGGTACATTAGTATAACATCCCATCACTACACTGTACTAAATTTCAGACATAAAAAGCAATGCTTCGACAATATATCTATATCTATAAAATTTATGTGAACCATGTACACTTGTTGTACCTTTCAGAATTCTAGATTAGAAACTGAAAGATGATAACAGATTTTATGTTAAGGAAACTAATACGATTGATTGACAACAAGTAATTTACATGACAATTTTGCGATGGCCTTAAATACTGTGTATGAATTGAATCTGTATATGTTCTTGTTGAACATTCATAAAATTTATGTACAGGATGTTTTGTGTATAATATTTCCTGTTGGGACCTCAAGTCTGTAGTGAATTGTATTGCTGAACATTGTTGTGTCCTGTCTGCCAGGAAGCATCCACCCTAAGTACGCATTGCAGCATTGTACTTGTAGGATGTCATATCCTGCGCATTACGAAAATCACAAAATTTTCTGCTAATCATATACTCCTAATGTTGCCATACACACAATCAAATTTCCACAATAACTGTTTTCTTTCCATTTTGAGATATTTAGCTGGTTCTTGTTCTGTTGAATCACACCTAAGTGTTTACACGTTGGTGAGTTACAGAACTGAGAACAGATCTGGTCTAGTAATGCTTAATGGATTTACTTCTGCTTTTGTATCGACCTCAATTTCTTCTGTATTTGATACTACAATATAGCTAAATAGATAACCAGTACATTTGTACCAAACTGTACAAGTGCTTAAAAATTTATGTAATGTACAAAGAAAATCTGTAAAGTCTATTTAGCTTGAAACCAACATTTCAAAAGTAAGATCCTGTGATTCCTATAAAACTGGTAGGAGGCAGGATGTCATTTATTTCTCCACTGATTCAATCAATATTTGATTCATAAATCAAAAATTATTATCATGACATAAAAGGATTCCTAACTGTATTTAAACTCTATAAATAGAATACTAAATCCTATTTGCTGTAGTTCAGTATTTGTGAAAAGCTTGTATAAAACATTTCACCAACCAACACTTCATCCAGCAGCAATTCTTATTGGAATTTTTTAAGTGAGTCCAGTGTTTTTCTTTAAAATGTTTTACTCTGCTTTTGCTTTAGGATATATTGTCTTTACCCTTAATGCATTATTGCAGAAATGAAGGCTCACATTAGTTAGTCGCGAATTCTTGGTCTGTGCATTTACAGTCAACTGTCAGTACCTCAGTCAAAATCTTTTGATGAATTCCATGGGAAGGTATTAATCAGTAATAAAAACCAATTTCTTAAACTTTGTACCCGTTGGCTTCAGATGACTTTCTTTTTTTTTCTATCAAAATTAGGGTATTCAGAAGGACTGTTTAGAGATGGGTTTTGACTGTCAAAATTGAGATTTGATTCTTGAAGGGACATGTCTATAGTTTTTTATTTATGTTTTGACCATTCAAACTGATGTATGATTTGACTTCTGAAATTCACACAACATATCAAGGATCAGCTAAACGATCTTTTTTAAGAAATTGAATGTGTTTTAATTGTTTAATATGCTTTGTTTGCTTCATATTTACTAGAATTAGCTATTTCTGCTATTTACATAAAAGAAAGTTGGTAAATTGTATGCAATGCAACACTTTTATTAAATATGTTATAAGTTGAATCAACAGGAAAAGTGTAGCTCTACTTTAAAATGAAACTTTTTATGAAACATTGACAATGGTATTGATACTGTTTTTTGTTCTCAATTCCCCAAAATATTCTGTTATAAATACATACAGGATAGCATTAACACTGTATTAAGTGAAGAATTAAGACAATGTATGCACTATTAAGTACAGATAAAACAAAAGGTTCTGGTAAAACATGTCTGTCTTATGATATGGACACTGATGGCATTTTCTGATGCTGGAAGCAGAATATACCACTGTTCACTACATCTGATAAAATTTTGATGACTTGTCACTAAACATTAGCAAACATTGTTGCATTTTTATTTCTATATTTTGTTATTAACTGCTTTGTTTAATCATGTAGGATGTCATGATTGATTCTGCTGTAAATATGTTTATTATTGCTCTAATGCTTTCTAATTTTAAGTATCTTAAGCCTGAAGGCACTGATCATTCCAGATCTGAATGCATGGAACTGCAATGATCACAATACAATGGCTGTGTTACTTTTTGTTCTGAAGTAACTTGATTACTGTTAAATACTAAAATTTATAGGTATCATTCTACCTGATCAAATAATCAATATTTACATGATATTTTAATAGATTGTGTCACTTTGATAATAATGATAATGTTCAATTATTTCATCAATACAGAAAGTGAAGTTACTATATACACAGATATATGTTAGAGTATTATGAAGCAGTGCTGATGCCATGCTCAAATCAGCAGCTATAGAGACATAACATGCTCCATTAAAGAGTTAAACATGCCAAAATAAAGTCCCCAAGTACAGATTAATATACAGGTAAAACATGTTCAGGTGAAGTATATTAAAGCCAAGGTGAAGTCTAATACAGAGACCAAATATCCCCAAGTACAGATTAATATACAGGTAAAACATGTTCAGGTGAAGTATATTACAGCCAAGGTGAAGTCTAATACAGAGACCAAATATCCCCAAGTAAAGATTAATATACAGGTAAAACATGTTCAGGTGAAGTATATTACAGCCAAGGTGAAGTCTACTACAGAGACCAAATATCCCCAAGTACAGATTAATATACAGGTAAAACATGTTCAGGTGAAGTATATTACAGCCAAGGTGAAGTCTAATACAGAGATCAAATATCCCCAAGTAAAGATTAATATACAGGTAAAACATGTCCAGGTGAAGTATATTACAGCCAAGGTGAAGTCTAATACAGAGACCAAATATCCCCAAGTACAGATTAATATACAGGTAAAACATGTCCAGGTAAAGTATATTACAGCCAAGGTGAAGTCTAATACAGAGACCAAATATCCCCAAGTACAGATTAATATACAGGTAAAACATGTCCAGGTAAAGTATATTACAGCCAAGGTGAAGTCTAATACAGAGACCAAATATCCCCAAGTACAGATTAATATACAGGTAAAACATGTCCAGGTGAAGTATATTACAGCCAAGGTGAAGTCTAATACAGAGACCAAATATCCCC